GCTCTGCAAAGCATCTTGGGCAAAACATTACACGAAGAGGAAATGAAAAACAACGAAAATCAACAGTTGGAAGTAGTACAGTAAGGAGAAAAACTAATCAAAGAAGAAAAACAAATCAAGTTAAATAACAAAAATAAACAAACATGGCTGGAAGTACAAACCATATCTCAATAGTAACGCTAAATGTTAATGGCTTAAACCCAATCAAAAGACATAGGCTAGTAGACTGGATTTTAAAAAAAAAGATCCAACAATATGCTGCCTACAGGAGACTCATCTGATACGAAAAGACATATACAGACAGAGGGTGAAAGTTTGGGAAAAATCATACCACTCACATGGACCTCGGAAGCAAGCAGGGGTGTCCATTCTGATATCAAATAAAATAGACTTCAAGCCAAAATTAATCAAAAGGGATAAAGAAGGACACTACATACTGCTAAAGGGAACCATTCACCAACAAGACATAACAATCATTAATATATATGCCCCAAATAATGGTGCAGCTATGTTCGTCAAACAAACTCTTCTCAAGTTCAAGAGACAAATAGACCACAACACAATAATCATGGGTGATTTTAACATACTTCTTTCACCAGTGGACTGATCTTTCAAACAAAAGTTGAATAAAGAAACTATAGATCTCAATAACACAATTAATAACTTAGACTTAATTGACATATATAGAATATATCAATCAAAATCAAACGGATACACTTTTTTCTCAGCAGCACAGGAATCCTTCTCAAAAACAGACCATATATTATGCCATAGGGCAACTCTTAGCAAATATAAAGGAGTAGAGATATTACCATGAATTTTATCCAATCATAATGGAATGAAATTGGAAATCAATGATAAAATAAGGAAGAAAAATTCCTACATCACTTGGAGAATGAACAATATGCTACTGAATGAACAATGGGTTACAGAAGACATCAAGGAGGAAATTAAAAAATTCTTAGAGAAAAATGAAAACACAGACACAACATATCGAAATCTATGGTGACACTATGAAAGCAGTAGTAAGAGGAAAATTCATTGCATGGAGTTCATTCCTCAAAAAAAGAAAGAGCCAACAATAAATGATCTCACACTACATCTCAAAGCCCTAGAAAAAGAAGAGCAAATCAGCAGCAAATGCAGTAGAAGGCAAGAAATAACCAAAATCAGAACTGAAATCAATGAAATTGAAATAAAAGAAAAAATTGAAAAAACTAAAAGTTGATTCTTTGAAAAAATAAATAAGATTGACAGACTTTTAGCCATGCTAACGAAGAGAAGAAGAGAGAGAACCCAAATCACTAGAATGTGAGATGAAGAAGGCAATATTACAACAGACACTACAGAAATACAAAAGATAATTAGAAATTATTTTGAAATTTTATACTCCAATAAAATCGAAGATAGTAAAGGCATCGATAAATTCCTTAAGTCATATGATCTGCCCAGATTGAGTCAGGAAGATATACACAACTTAAACAGACCAATATCGGGGCTGGAGATGTGGCTCAAGCGGTAGCGCACTCGCCTGGCATGCGTGCGGCCCGGGTTCGATCCTCAGCACCACAAACAAACAAAGATGTTGTGTCTGCCGAAAACTAAAAAAATAAATAATAAAAAATTCTCTCTCTCTCTCTTCTCTCTCTCAAAAAAAAAAAAAAGCCTGTATCTTAAAAAAAAAAAAAAAAAGAAAAACAGACCAATATCATGTGAAGAAATAGAAGAAGCAATCAAAAGATTACCAACCAAGAAAAGCCCAGGACCGGACGGATACACTGCAGAGTTTTACAAGACCTTTAAAGAAGAACTAATACCAATACTCTTCAAACTATTTCAGGAAATAGAAAAAGAGGGCACACCTAGCAGATCCAAAAAGTTCTACCAAGAAACTTCTAGAACTAGTAAATGAATTCAGCAAAGTGGCAGGATATAAAATCAACACCCATAAATCAAAGCATTCCTGTATATCAGTGACAAATCCTCTGAAATGGAAATGAGGAAAACTACCCCATTCACAATATCCTCAAAAAAAATAAAATACTTGGGAATCAACTTAACAAAAGAGGTGAAAGATCTATACAATGAAAACTATAGAACCCTAAAGAGAGAAATAGAAGAAGACCTTAGAAGATGTAAAGATATACCTTGCTCATGGATAGGCAGAATTAATATTATTAAAATGGCCACATTACCAAAAGCACTCTACAATGTGATTCCAATCAAAATCCCAATGGCATTCCTCACAGAAATAGAAAAAGCAATTATGAAATTCATCTGGAAAAATAAGAGGCCCAGAATAGCTAAAGCAATTCTAAGCAGGAAGAGAGAAACAGGTGGTATAGGTATACCAGATCTTAAACTATACTACAGAGCAATAGTAACAAAAACAGCATGGTACTGGCACCAAAACAGGCTGGTAGACCAATGGTACAGAATAGAGGACACAGAGACCAACCCACAAAATTACAACTACCTTATATTAGACAAAGGTGCTAAAAGCAAGCAATGGAGAAAGGATAGCATCTTCAACAAATGGTGCTGGGAAAACTGGAAATCCATATGCAACAAAATGAAATTGAATCCCTATCTCTCACCATGCAAAAAAGTTAACTCAAAATGGATCAAGGATCTAGGAATCAAACCAGAGACTCTGCATCTAATAGAAGAAAAAGTTGGCCCTAATCTCCATCACGTGGGGTTAGGCCCCACGTTCCTTAATAAGATGCCTATAGCACAAGAATTAAAACCAAGAATCAACAAATGGGACAAATTCAAACTAAAAAGTTTTTTTCTCAGCAAGAGAAATAATATGTGAGGTGAATAGGGAGCCTACATCCTGGGAACAAATATTTACCCCTCACACATTAGATAGAGCTCTAATCTCTAGGATATACAAAGAACTCAAAAAGTTAAACAACAACAAAAAAAACCAAATAACCCAATTAACAAATGGGCCAAGGACCTGAACAGACACTTCTCAGAAGAGGATATACAATAAATCAACAAATACATGAAAAAATGCCCACCATCGCTAGCAATCAGATAAATGCAAATTAAAACTACTCTAAGATACCATCTCACTCCAGTAAGAATGGCAGCCATTATGAAGTCAAATAACAACAAGTGCTGGTGAGGATGCGGGAAAAAGGTACACTCATACATTGCTGGTGGGACTGCAAATTGGTGCAGCCAATTTGGAAAGCAGTGTGGAGATTCCTTGGAAAACTGGGAATGGAACCACCATTTGACCCAGCTATTCTATTCCTCTTCTCAGACTATACTCAAAAGACCTAAAAACGGCATACTACAGGGACACAGCCACACCAATGTTTATAGCAGCACAATTCACAATAGCTAGACTGTGGAGCCAACCTATATGCCCTTCAAGGAATGAATGGATAAAAAAATGTGGCATTTATACACAATGGAATATTACTCAGCACTAAAAAATAATAAGATCATGGCATTTGCAGGGAAATGGATGGCATTAGAGCAGATTATGCTAAGTGAAGTTAGCCAATCCCAAAAAAACAAATGCCAAATGTCTTCTCTGATATAAGGGAGGTGACTCAAAATGGGGTAGGGAGGAAGAGCATGAGAAGAAAATTACCTCTAGATAGGGAAGAGAGGTGGGAGGGAAAAGGAGGGAGAATGGGAATTGCATGGAAGAGGGAAGGAGACCCCCTTTGTTATACAGAATACAGGTATGATTATGTGAGGGGAAAAAACAAAAGAAGAAGTGGGTCACATTAGATTGGGTAGACAGAAGTGATGGGAGGGGAGGGGAGGGGAAGTGGGGAATGGAAAGACAGCAGAATAAAATAGACATTATTATTGCTGTGGGTATATACGTGACTGCATGACTAATGTAATTCTGCAACCTGTACATCAGAAAAATGAGAAATTATATCCCATCTGATTCAAATGTATGATATGTCAAGATCATTGCACTGTCCTGTGTAACTAATTAAAACAAATAAAAAAATCTGTTTAGACAGTTTAAAAACAAAAAGAATCTTAGCGTCAAGTTAATTCTGGAGAGGCCCAAATCTGCAAAAAAACAAACACACACTCCTGAGCAACTACCTGAAGCATACAGAATATGCTGCAAGAGGTTTTTGTGATTTTTAAGAGACTGTCTTAGGGTAAATTAGTAATAGGCACATAGAAATGAATTAATTAAAAATTTTAGGTACAATTGTATTATTTAATGACAGGGTTACAGTCTGAGAAATGCTATTTCTTTGTAAGGAAATCACAGGGGACACTGACACAAACTAAGATAGCTCCAATATGATCTTATTGCACCGTAACTGTCCATTGTATTATGGCAATATAATCTTACAGAATCATCATCACATAGTCTGTCACTGATTCAAACATTGTCATGCAGTGCATCATTCTTTTAGTTATAAGATAAATAAGTCATGTGAAAATGAAAAGGTAATCCTAGTAGACCATATGAATCACCTCTGAACAAAATCCCTACAGTCCTAATTATGCAAATACTAACGACTTTCCAATCTATGAACTTGTGTTATTATAAGGTAGGTATTTTACAGATTTTTTTTTTTTACCCTTTCCTCTAAGGCTGTCAAACAACCAGTGGCCAACAGAGGCCACCTTTTGAGAAGCAATGCTTTCCACTTTAGCATTTTGTGCCAGAGAGGAATACTTTCCCCTTCCTTCTTTCACAGGGAAATCCATACCTGGTCTAATGCTTATCTTAAAGTTCTACAGATTTATATGATAAACATTTCATGAAATCAAACAGCATTTAGAGAAAACAAAAATCAGCTACATATTTTTATTAGAAGACACAATCTATTATTTCTCTTTTAAGTTCAAAAATTTTTATAATTATTACTGAAATAAAATTAATGGAAATAATTTAAATATAAGAGAAAACAGTAAAATGTAAATTAAATAAGAGAGAAAATAGTACAATGTAAAATGTAGTTGAACAAAAATAAAACATTTTAAAAATTTAAACTTACTCGTATGAAATCCATAAGTGTATTATAAATGAAGGCTCCTCGGGGAAGGAAAAAACAGCTTCCAGGACTCAAATCGTGAAAAAAGAAAAGTTCCTGTTCCTAGATTAAAATAATAATTGCATTTCAAATTTCATCTTTTGTCAAATAATATTCATCACATACACATGATATGCTAACAATAAATCATACTCAGTTATCTTCCTATATTCTAATAATAAGCATTCCAAAGACTCTCAGTACTTATCCCTAACCATCCATAATACCACATGTAAAATGACAATTCATTCTTATGATTACTTAGTCTTTAATTTGGCTTTTCTGTCATCTTTCTCACTTAATGATAATTTTTTACTTGGCTTTAAAAAATACCAGAACATTCCACCACAGGAGGTGTGCTTCAAGTGATGATGGTCATTCTTTCTCACGGATTTCAGCTACCCCTGCATCTGTCCTCACATCAACCTGCAAGGTTACCCCAGACAAGGACAGGCAGGGAGCTTCATAAGTGAATACCTTGCCCATCACAACAAAGCTAATAAGTGGCAGGATTGAGATTAACAATCCAGGTCTACCGGCTTTCAAATCTCATCCTTCTTTCTACACCCGTCCTTGACTCCTAAATACAATGAATGCAGTCTATGGAGTGTACACAATTTTAAAAAATAATTTCATGATAAAAATAAGAGAACAGTATAATTTTTAAAATCTAATAAAAGATACAGGGAGGAAAGAGGTTAGAAGGTATTTGGGGTATTAATATGAAAAAACTCAACAACAGGCAACGAATGCCAGCAAAACAGAAGGCAGAAAATAGGACAGCGAAATATAATTTTTTAAATTTAGTTTTATGAGATGTAAACTCAAGGCAACAAAGGAATGTTTGTGTCTTAGTACTGATGAGGATCGGGGGCATACCTTCCCAATTTTCCTATGATCACGATTCTTGGCTTCCTCTTGGAACTTTTCCCAGGTTTTCATCATTTTGTTATCAGGAAAGGATATCCCATAGATCCTCTGCAACGTTTCCATTTCAGGATTTCCCTCCCAGTATGTTGAGGAATTCTAAACACCAAATAAACACCAAATAAGATTTTGGTAAACACATCAAACATTTGGTTACAAATAAAATCACTCTAAGATAGTACATAATTTTCCACCATAACATCCACAATGCTTATAGATTTTTTTTTTTTTTTGGTAATATTGGGAAGAATCTGAAATAGATTCTAATTAAACTATCCCATCCCAAATGATAGCACTAATCAGTAAATGACATAAAGAGTCTGTTGTGGATTCTAGGAATCAAAGTGACAGGAAGCTGGATGGTGGGAAAGTTGAACAGCAACTGCAGTCACCAAGAGGGGAGCAGAAGAGACAGGAGGTCCAGGGAAGGGCATCTTAGCCTCACTGATGTAGCGCAGGGATTAAGAGCTTTAAAAGGTAAAGCTATCATGCAGTCCTGTATTTCACCTGTGAGGAAAACAAGTCCCAGAAAGGTTGAGACTTCAGAGTCACTCCCAAACCTCTGATTCCACATCACACCATCACATTCCCTGGTTCTCCTTTTCCTACAGCATGTTATTCTCACATGCAAACAAATGTTCTTATTCACTTTGGGTGACTCAAGAAAACCACAATGCAGTTTGTCCCTCAGTATCTGCAGGGGGTTCCAGGACCTCCCATGGATACTGAAATCCAAGGATGTTCAAGTCCCTAATAAAATTGGTTTACAATTGGCATAAAAGCTATGTGTATACTTTAAATCATCTTCCTGCATACTTTGAAGCAAAGCAAATTCTATGCAAATTGTTGTTAGATTGTATTATTTAGGAAATAATGACCAAAAAAAATCTGTACATGCTCAGTATAGAAGCAATTTTTTTCCAAATATTTTCATTCTGCAGTTGATTAAATCCACAACTGTGATACTTGTGGAGATAGTGCTGCATCTGTAACAGTATTTTAAAATATCATATAAAAAAGAAATGCATTAGAATACTTTACATAAAGTTAAATTATACATAAGCTATATGTAGTGGTCTAAATATCAAAATTCTAAAATATATTAGGCAAATAAGAATGAAATATTTAAAATATTATGATGTTCAGGCTAGAAAAGATATGAGTTAAATCTATTATCTAGTTCAACTTAAGTTTGCTGTGTTTATAAATTAAAATAATCAATCCTTACCTTGAAAATTTTTATGGTTGTAATTTTTCCAGTGTGTCTTACATGGGGGCCTTTACAAAGATCAATTAGTGGACCACACCTATAATGAAACATTTAGGACATGCTCAGACAGTTATAGCTTTTTATTTTTCTTTCTTTCTCTCTCTCTCTCTCTTTTGTTTTTGTTTTTGGTACCAAGGATTGAACTCAGGGGCACTCAACCACTGAGCCATATCCCCAGCTCTATTTTGTATTTATTTATTTATTGTTAATTAATTAATTAATTAATTTTAAACTTTTTTTTAAAAGAGAGAGACAGAGAGATGAGAGAGAGAGAGAATTTTAATATTTATTTATTTTTTCTACTTCTCGGCAGACACAACATCTTTGTATGTAGTGCTGAGGATCGAACCCGGGCCGCACACATGCCAGGCAAGCGTGCTACCGCTTGAGCCACATGCCCAGCCCTTAATTAATTTTAATTAGGTATACATGACAGCAGAATGCAGTTTGAGTCATTGTACACAATTTCAGCACAGCTTTTCATTTCTCTGGTTGTACATGATGTAGCGTTGCACCATATGTGCAGTCATACATGTGCCTAGGGTAATGATGTCCATCTCATTCCACCATCTTTCCTGCCCCGATCCCCTCTCTTCTCCCCTCTCTCCCCTTTGCCTAATCACACTTCCTTAATTTTTCCCATGCCTTCCCCACCATTATGGATCAGCATCCACTTATCAGTGACAACATTCAGCCTTTGGTTTTGGGGGATTGGCTTACTTTACTTAGCATGATATTCTCCAACTCCATCCATTTACCTGCAAATGCCATAATTTTATTCTCTTTTAATGCTGAGTAATATTCCATTGTATATATATACTACAGTTTCTTTATCCGTTAATCTATTGAAGGGCATCTAGGTTGCTTCCATAGTTTAGCTATTGTGAATTGAGCTATAAACATTGATATGGCTATATCACTGTAATATGCTGATTTTAAGTCCTTTGGGGGTAGACAAGAGAGTAGGATAGCTGGATTAAATGGTGGTTCCATTCCAAGTTTTCTAAGGAATCTCTATACTGCTTTCCAGATTGGTTGTACCAATTTGCAGTCCCACCAACAATGTATGAGTGTGCCATATCCCCCACATCCTCACCAACATTTATTGTTGTCTGTATTCTTAAAAACTGCCATTCTGACTGGCTTGAGATGAAATCTTAGAGTAGCTGTGATTTGCACTTCTTTTATTACTAGAGATGTTGAACATTTTTTCATATATTTGTTGATTGAATGTATATCTTCTTCTGAGAAGTATCTGTTCAGCTCCTTAGCCCATTTACTGATTGGGTTTTTTTTTTTTTTTTTTGATGTTAAGTTTTTTAAGTTCTTTATATATCCTAGAGATTAGCGCTCTATCTGACAAGCATGTGGCAAAAGTTTGTTCCCAAATGTAGGCTCTCTTTTCATCTCAATGTTTGTTTCTTTTGCTGAGAAGAAGCTTTTAGTTTGAGTCCATCACATTCATTAATTCTTTGATTTTATTTCTTGCGCTTTAGAAGTCTTGCTAAGGAAGTCGGGGCCTTATCAGACATGATGAAGATTGGGTCTACTTTTTCCTCTATTAGGCATAGGGTCTCTGGACTAATTCCTAGGTCTTTGATCCACTTTGAGTTGAGTCTGTGCATGGTGAAACATAGGGGTTTAGTTTCATTTGCTGCATATGGAATTCTAGTTTTCCCAGTACCATTTGTTGAAGAGGCTCCATTTCTCCAATTTATGTTTTTGGTGCCTTTGTCTAGAATGAGATAACTGTATTTATATAGGTTTTTCTCTGTGTCTTCTATTCTGTATCCATTGGTCTACATGTCTATTTTGGTGCCAATATCATGCCGTTTTTGTTACTATAGCTTTGTAATGTAGTTTAAGGTCTGGTATTATAATGCCTCCTGCTTCACTCTTCTTGCTAAGGATTGCTTTGGCTATTCTGGATCTCTTATTTTTCCAAATGAATTTCATTATTGCTTTTTCTATTTCTATAAGGAATGATGATGGGATTTTCCCTATTTTATATTTTATTTATTTAGAGACAGGGTCTCAGGATTGCTTAGTACCTCACTTTTGCTGAGGCTGGCTTTTAACTCGCTTTGAAATTGCAATCCTCCTGGGGCTGGGGATGTGGCTCAAGCGGTAGTGCGCTCGCCTGGCATGCGCGGGTCGCTGGGTTCGATCCTCAGCACCACATTAAAAAAAAAAAAAAAAAAAAAAGATGTGTCCACCAAAAACTAAAAAATAAAAATAAAAAAAGAAAAAAAAAAAAAGAAATTGCAATCCTCCTGACTTAGCCTCCCAAGCCACTGGGATTACAGGTGCACACCACTGCACCCAGCCAGTTCTAGCTTTTCTTCTAAAAAAAATATTTTTAGTTGTAGATGGACAAAGTACCTTTATTTAACTTATTTATTTTTATGTGGTGCTGAAGATAGAACCCAGTGCCTCACATTTGTGAGGCAAGCTATAACCCCAGCCCCAGTTGTATCTTCTTGAGTGAAAGATTTTACTTACTTACAAGTGTTGGAGCAATTTTTGATTTAGGCTTAGGGAAAGAGCTAACTCATCCAGTCTCAGATCCCAGTATGCCCTCTTTTGCTCAAATTCAGTGGTTTTCTTCCCTTATTCTTTCTTATTTATTTTTTTCTGTGATACCAAGAACAGAATCTAGGGCCTTGTGAATGAAAGGCAAGTGTTACACCAATAAGACATACCTCTACACCTTGCTCAAATATAAAAGCCACAGAATAACTTCTGAAAGAAAGTTCAAAAGATCCTCCCTCCCTCCATCCCTCCCTCCCTCCTTCCTTCCTTCCTTCCTTCCTTTCCCATCCTGGGGAGAAAACCCAGGGGCACTTTACCACTGAACTACATCCCTAGCCTATTCTATTCTATTCTGAGAGAGAGTCTTAATTGCTGAAGCTGACTTTGAATTTGCAGTTCTCTGCCTCTGTCTTGAAAATCACTGGTATTATAAGTGTGTACCAGCTCACCCAGCCAGAGATGCCACTGTCAACTGCCACAACCCAAAGCTCTCAAATATCTCTCTTTAACATAAAATCAGACATTTTCCTGCTCTATACTAATCTTCAGGACTGAAATCATCTGAAATTTATTTACACCACATTAACTTAATATTTTACTTTAAAAATAAATGTTAAACCCTAAATATATGTGACTTGGTATATATATACATATGCATCTGAGAACTGTATCTGTCTAAGCCTTGTGTAAGTGTTAAATAAAAGTTTTTAAAATGAAAGTTTATGTAAGTTTAGCAGCAAGATAACCAGTAAGTCCTCTCTTTTATACATGGTATCTGATATAGAAGGGCCACACTGTCATTTGAAGACCTGTCTTATTTATATCTGTTTGCTTTGACTAAGTGCTTTTCTGATCATTAACACTGTTTCCTAAATGTGTAAGAGATTTAAGGCTTTCCTTTGATTTTTGCTAGTCCTGCTAATCCACGTAGACCTGTGATTATTGTTACCGTATACTCTGGATTCTATTCTAAATTGTACTTTAAAAGTTAAACTTGGTTAAATGTAAATCTTAGGGGAGAACACTTTACCAAGTTGGTCTTCTCAAAACTAAAATTATCTGTAGCAATGGTCTTGGGTTTATATAGAAATAACAAATTTGATTAGTATTTATTCATGTCATTTGATGTTTTATAGCTGGATAAAGTAACCTGTTGTCAATAAGTTATATATACAATTTTGAGTGACTTTTCACTCTGGAATACAAATTTAAATGTATTTTTGGAAGGTAATAAGGAAAGCTTAATCTATTTAAAAGTGACATTGTAAAACATAAAAGCATTTTGCCACTTTTCCACAAAAAGTTAAAAGCTCTCTTAGCCTTTTTGATTCATGTTTTAGATGTAATATTGTATCATGTTATTTGTCAAGAACCCTCCCCACCCCTTAGCTGAGATAAGGCTCTGCTTCCCAACTCCATGTTAGAATGGCTCCAAAATAGGCTAGACTTGAGCTCATTTAGAGTTATATTCAAAAATCAAATTTTGTTGTAAAAATTACTGTGATCTCAAACTAAACAGGGGATATAATATATAACTAAGTAAGAGTTTAAGATTATAAAAATCATTTTACTTGGTTTGTAGCTATTACACAAATGGAATTTTTTTTTCTCTGCTAATTTCATGTTGTTTTCCTTATAAACTCTAGAACTGTTGTCTGTTAGTGTTTTGCAGAAGTAATGCTACTAATAAAACAACCTGAGTTAAACTGACATAATAAACTATTACCTATAGGACCGATAGAATGCAATGGTGACTCACAGAACTAATACTGACCCCAATTAAATGAAAGGGGTAACTGTAAAATTATAGATATTGAAGTTATAACATTTATTCCCACTTTAAGACTGGTGAAACTGGCTGCTGGATGTTTAAAATCAAAAACTTGGAGACCAAAGTCAAGGAAGTAAAAGGACCAAGGAAATAGTAGCCAATATTTTGGTCCTTGTCCTCTAAGGTCAGCCAGGACCCAGAGAATGATGGGACCCCTCTCTGGGCCCTGAAACTCTGGTGAGTCACCCAATCTGCCAATCAGGGAGATTGAGAGGACCTTAGAGAATAGGAAGCCAACCAGTATAGATTCTGAAAAGAGGAGGGTAATTAGAGATGGAAATGTCCCTGATGGTCACTGTACTGTCATGTGCAATTAAATGAAACAAATAAAAAATTTTAAAAAAAAAGAAGCTACATATGGTCAGCAAGACTCTGACCCATCCTGGCCAATGGCACCAGTGGTAGAGGAAAGTTAAAAGAGCCAAGATGCTTTGCACACGTCCCCAAGAGTGATCTCCGAGGAATTTCAGCTGACTCTTAGGAGTAGATAGGAACAAGGTCGGTTTTGACCAACTAGATCTTAAATACCTGGCAGGACAATATAACCAAAGCACATTCCTACATAAACATTTAAAAAGAAAAACAATATTTTTTTAATGTAACTTAAGATGTACACTGTGTCAGCCCTACCAAAAGTAAGTAAGGCTGGATGGTATAAAGGAAGGGTTCTTATAGGGAGTGCCTAATAAAAATGATCACGAAGGACTCTAGAGTCGCAAGTTTGTCATGACTTAATTTGAGCCTGATCTCATAGACTTACAAAGCTTCCTAACTATTTCTACATGGATAAACTTGATCTGTTTTTCACTGATATGATTATGAATTACTGTCTTCCTGGTTTTCAGAGACTGGCTGAAATACTGATTGCTTTCGTGTTAATTGTGTACAAAAAAGTAATGCTTTGTTGTTTTGTTTATTATTGTTTTAGCATAATTCCTGCCCTATGTATGCCTTGTCCAGTCACCTGCCATCTGCCACTGTGGACCTCTGGACTGATGTGATGCTGAATACCCTTAACAGTCTATGCCCCAACTGATAGACAACAAGGACTTTGGGTTACTTTCCCCAACTTCATCCTCTCTCAGTAGGAAGCACCTTGGGACATGTCATCGCCCATTTTTCCACAGAAATCGAATATAGAAATTGATAGTGGGGAAGTGTAACAATGGTCCACTTTATGCTTTGAATTAGCCCATGCTGTTCTGCTACTATAACTTATTTTTTAAATGCACGTTTCTTTCTCTTCCTCTCTCCCTGCTCCTCTCTAATCTCTCCTCTTCCCTAATCTCAGGGGAAACAGGATTACCTTTCTTCCCTATTTTAGGCAGATTTACCCGTTCTTGAGAACACATCCACCATAGGAAAGAAGTAATCCAGGCTTTGGGGATGGCACCAGAAGATCTCAGAAATGACTATCTCCCAAATTAACAAGTGAATTATAACACCAACATGGAATGTAGCCTTTGAATCACCTCTTGAAAAGCCTCCTTGTTCCTGCTGATGGACAGAATCACAGCCTCTGGGACAGAAGTCCCCTGTGTTTCTCCTTTGCTAGCAAAGCAATAAAACTTCTTTTTCCTTTTTCTCAAAAAATGAAAAAATAAATATGATAAGAAAATAAAAGTAAAGAAAACAAAAAACAAAGAACAAACAAAAGAAAAAATAAATGTCAAGATCTTTATTTCTTTTAGGCTCTCTGGTTTTATGATGAAATGCCTAATTATTTCTGGGTTTATTAAATGACAACACTGATTTATAGTGCATACTTCAGGCAAAAGTTAGGGTCAGAGATGACATCATTATTCAGACACTAGGGGCTGTAGCTAGGGATTTCCTTGAACATATAATGAACAAGGATTCACAAATCTTAAGTAAACACTTTTGTTCAAGTACAGCAATATTAACAGAATTAAAATATAAATGTCACAGGTCAGAGGGAAAATTACTTAACATCAACCAGTCTGAAGAAAATTTAGTAAAGAAAGTAATGTCTTAACTATCCCAATCAATTTTAAAGTCCGTTAGTTACAAGGTTAAAAATCACAATGACAAAAAGTGACTGAATTATAGTCTTACAAATAGAATGAAGCTGTAAACATGAAAATATAATTTTTTTTTGAAAAACAAAGCTTTGAGTACTGTCCTCTGAAGTGGAAGTTGTAAAAAAATCATGTTCAGAGGAAAGGAAGGAATACCAAATTAGCACAAAAGTTTTTGATACCCTGATCTTTAAATAATCACAAGAAGTGTCCATGTAGACCTAAATAGGTTCTAAAAAATGCAACTTGTCAATTATTAGAAGCCAGAATTTAAAAACTTAGCCTGTCTTTTCTGTATCTTCATTTATTCTTAAAGTTAAGAATGATTAATAATAATAACACTAATAAATATTAGTGTTAATATTTATTTGAATGATAGGTAATAAATAATAAAATCGTATAGGGAATTGAAGAGTGGCAAAAATAAGGTAAACACATTTGTTGATTGGGTTATTTGGGTTTTTTTGGTGCTTAGCTTTTTGAGTTCTTTATATACCCTACAGATTAGTGTTCCATCTGATTGTGTGAGGGGTAAAATTTGCTGCCAGGATGCTCTCTGTTCACCTCACAGATTATTTCTTTTGCTTAGAAGAAACTTTTTAGTTTGATTCCATCCCATTTATCGATTCTTGGTTTTAATTCTTGCTGTATAGGAGTCTTATTAAGGAATTTGGGGCCTAATCCCACACGATAGAGATTAAGGCCTACTTTTTCTTCTATTAGACTCATAGTCTCTGGTTTAATTCCTAGGTCCTTGATCCACTTTGAGTTTTGTGCAGGGTGAGAGATAGGGGTTTAATTTCATTTTGTTGCATATGGATTTCCAGTTTTCCCAGCACCATTTGTTGAAGAGGTTATCTTTTCTCCAATGCATGTTTTTGGCACCTTTGTCTAATATAAGATAATTGTAATTTTGTGGGTAAGTCTCTGTGTCCTCTATTCTGTACCATTGGTCTACCAGTATGTTTTGGTGCCAATACCATGCTGTTTTTGTTACTATTGCTCTGTAGTATAGTTTAAGGTCTGATATAGTGATGCCACCTGCTTTACTCTTCCTGCTAAGGACTGCTTTTATTGTATCCCATACAACATCAATGGCAAGGAGTTCATGCTATAATTTAAGAGATGCTCTATGCATGGCTTTGCACAAAAGGAATATGATTTAATTTATCCTACAACTGATTTAGAGAATGATAAGCACTTGACTGTGGAAATAATGCTCTGGTGGAAGAGATTTGTGATTGTAATTACATAGGTACTAGGTCTTCTAAGATGGGACCATGACGATCCCAGCAGCACCCAAACAGCAGGAACACACAAAAATGGGGAACAGCAACTACCCATGGGGCAGCTTTGAAAGATAAATTATAAAGGGCTCAAGAGACTCCTGTTAAACTACGAGAACTGAGGGATCCTGGGACTGAGTCCACTAAGTTCTTAGCCCTGACTTGGCCGCTTCCCAAAGTTCCCTTTTTGTCCCGTTGTGAATACCCTGCTCACAGAGGAAGGCTGATACACCTGAACTCTGAACAACAGGGGGCACAATGTGAGAAGATGGTCTGGATGGCTCCCATTACCATGTTACTAAGAATGCAGAAGGAGGAAACAGCTCTTTTCCCAATAGCTCCTAAAAATGTAAGGGACCAGGCTGACATAGTCCTATCCTTAAAGAGAAAGGTCCTGTTACAGCTGACATTCAAAAAATGAAAATTGATCTCAGTTACTATCCTGATAAGTACAAAGGAGAAAATAAGAATTTACCCTTGGTATTAAAATTTGGGGGGTTCTTACTATAGTAGTACATCAGCTGTGCAAGGTTTACAAATAGACCACTTCCCAGAAAACAAATTCTGCTTCTACTGCTAACACCTTCAAGTTTACTACTGAGCAGTGTTTGAAATTTATGCACACAAACCTGTAAACTGTGGTAGTTGGAGTGTCGACCTTCTCCTTCAGAATTCGGCATTTAAATTTATTATACTACAAAGAAAAACATATTTACACGTTGTTACACAAAAAATATTAAATGAGAGGGGAAAAAAAGCATCAATTCAAGTAACACTGAAAAAGCGTCTACTACTTTTGAGGTGCTGAGACACTAAGGACACAGGGAGCTCATGGCAGATAGATATACTTCCAGGGTGGAAGCCTGTGCCCACATGGTCAATGGATGCTTAACATATGACTAGTGTGAAATGAGATGTGCTGTAAGTGAAAAACACACAGGACCTCAGAAGTATAGTAGGGGTGGGGAGAATGTAAAATAGTTCATTAATTATTTTCTATATTGTCTATATGTTGAAATGATTTTTTTCCCTTATAGTATTAGGAATTGAACTCAAGGGTGTTCTACCACTGAGCTATATCCTCAGCCCTTTTCTTTAATTTTTAAAATTCTGAAACAGGATCTCACTAAACTGACAAGGTTGGAATTGAACTTGTGATATTCCTGCCTTAATCTCCCAAATTGCTGAGATTACAAGCATGCACCACCATACCCAGATGAAACAATATTTTTAATATACTGTTAAGTAAAATTTTATTGGAAGTTAATTTCACCTTTGTTTTACTTATAAAATATAGCTGCCACAAAATTTGAGATTCCACTTTAAACATGTGGCTCAGATTTGAAGATTCCATTATATTTCTACTAGCCAACACTGTTCTTGAAGATCCAGTTTTAACTACATAGAATAAATAAATTGAAGATGCAGCTATATTATGACTTGTATAAAAACAAAAACAAAATTTATGGTAAGCAATAATGTCATTACATTTAAAAAAAATGTAATTTTTTCCTCTTCCTTTTTTTCTGCTTTTATCACCATTATCACAGCACCAGGTACTTATACTAAATAACTTCTTACAGGAGTTGTTGTCAGGAGAACAACAAACTGACCAGATTTATAAGATTTAACTGTTTCATACCTGCATGTTCAAACCAAATAATTTTCCTTCACAAACGTTGATATATTTAGATCCTGAGTAGCTCCAAGAAAAAGGCAACCCACAGAATGGAAGAAAATATCTGCACATCCTGTATCTGTTAAGGGACTGATATCCTTAATACATAAGGAACTAAAAACAAGACTGAGGTGTGCTATAGTCTCAGCTGCTTAGGAGGCTGAGGCAAGAAGATCACTTGAGCCTAGAAGTTTGAGGCCAGTCTGGGTAGCATAACAAATTTGCCTTAAAACCACCACCACAACCAACAACAACAACAACAAACCAAAAAGCTCATTCAAAAATGGGCAAAGAGGGCTGAGGCTATAGCTCAGTGGCAGAGTGTTTGCCTAGCATGTGTGACGTACTGGGTTCGATCCTTAGCACCACATAAAAATAAACAAATAAAGGCATTCTGTTCACCTACAATTATAAAAAAAATATATATATAAAAACAATGGGCAAAGAACTTGTTCTCCAAAGAAGATACACATTAAAAGATGTTCAACATTACTGTCATTAGAGAAATGCAAATCAAAATCACAAAGAAATACCACTCACAGCCATTAGAAAGGCTGTTATAAACAACAACAATATCACACACACACACACAACAGAAAATAACAATTGTTGGCAAGAATATGGAAAAACAGGAACCCTTGTACATTGTAAATGGCTCAGTACTCCTGTGGAAAATGGTATGACAGGTTCTCAAAATAAAATAGAACTTACATATGGTCCAGCAATTCCATTTGTGGGTATATGCCCCAAAGTGGTGAAATCAGTGTCTCCCACTGAAATTTGCACACCCATGTTCACAGCAGCTTTATTCACAAAAACAGTCAAAAAGCAGAAGCAACCCAAGAATCCACAAATTTACTATACACATACAAAAGGATCTTATTCAACCTCAAAAAAAGAAAAATATTCTGACATCTGCTACATCACAGACAACCTTGAGGATGTTATGTTGAGTGAAACAAGCCAGTCACCAAAGGACAGATACATGTTTCCCCAGAAATGAGGCTCCTAGAGAAAGATAAACTCAGGGACAGAAAGTAGAATGGTGCCTGCAGGGGCCCAGGGAGGAAAGTTAAGAGTTCAACAGGTAGAGAGTCTTAGAAAATGAAAAGAGCTCTGTGGATGGATGGTGGTGATGTTTACACAATGTAAATGTACTTGAAGAACTATATACTGAAAAATGGTTAAAATGGTAAATTTTATATTTTATATATTTTGCCATGTAAAAAAATTAAATGCAAATTTAAAAAAGCAAATCCATTTCTAATGCAAGACTATAATAAAACTATACTTTCAAAACATATACTTTCTCTGATATATATGATTTAAAAATAAAATTAAGGATTATATTTAAGTAAATTGGTCAAAAAAAATATAAAAAGACTATTCAAAAGTTTTACACAGGCTGTAACTTTTTTTTTTCTTTCTGTAGTGCTAGGAATAGAACCCAGGGCCTATGCTAGGCAACCACTTGGTACCACCCTCAGACCTAGGATTAAAAAGAAAGTTAACAAAAAACTGCCCCCAAAAAGAAAAAAACATAATTTTGTATGAGATTACAAACATTGTTGAATTTAGTAGTCAATTTTTCTTTAATTTAATACTGTTTTTTAATATTTATTTTTTAGTTGTAGTTGGACACAATACCTTTATTTCACTTATTTTTATGTGGTGCTGAGGATCGAACCCAGGGTCTCGCACATGCAAGGCGAGCACTCTACCGCTGATCCAGAACCCCAGCCCTAGTTTAATACTCTTAATTGGCTTTATATTCAATTCTTGAAGCAGATAACAATTTATTTTCAATTGTAGAAGCAGATGACACTTCATTCCATAAGATAGAATAAGTATTCCCAGTAATCAGGCATTAATGATACTCAGAATTAATCAGTTTTATAAACACACATATGAAGAGTATTTACCTGCCCTTTACCTACCTATGTCTGCCTGAAATTTTTTAGGAAACAGATGAGGAGGAAAGAGGCAGAGCAAATGATCAGAACAACCTCATAACAGGTTCCCAGAATGCGGAAAAATCTGGTGAGTTCAGCCAGGTATTTGGGGTGGGAGAGAAAAACGCTAACCTATGTTAATTTCTGTTAATATTCCTAGTAAAAGATTTTTATTCTGAGTTTCCCCAAGTTACCTTAAACATGTCCAGAAGCATTTCCTTGCTGACTTCCAATCTTTCAAAAGGCTGCTTTTCTTTTATGATGGTTTTACATATGTCCTCCAGGGCTGACAACTCAGTGCTGGACACTGCTCTATAAAGGAGAGTTCCCAAGAATCAGTACAGATCTTTCAGACCCTGAGTAATTCCCCCTCTCTGCTGCCCTGGAGCTTTTATCAATATTTGATACACATTCTGAATTCAGTTGGTGATCTGTTATACCAGGACTTGAGTCAGACATTCATCCATAGAGCAGATATGCCTTTATTTCTAAGAAGGAAGCTGAGGCATCAATTGATGCTGCAATCTACCTTTAGCTTTCCTTTGACCTGACATGAGAACAGTCTGTTAGAAGACTCCCCAGCCAGATGGTGAGCTCCTTTGAGTCCTGCTCCTGTGTCGTCTTCCTCAGACTCCATGCTTTTATATTTTTGTTCTAAAGAGTTGTATTAAGGGCTCACCACATTCCTGCCCTCAGTGGCAGTGGGATCTAACCTGGGAAGAAGACATGTGTGAAGTACAGTCCCAAGCACTATCACCGTGCAAGGACTGACCTCCTTCCACTGGCTCCTGGTGGGGATTCAATTCCCTCCTGCCCTATTAGCGTCCTTGCCATTCCTCAAACAAGTCACATGTATGCCCACAGAGGCCTGGAATGTTTTCCCCCAGATGTCCACAAATGCCTGCCTTCCCCCTGCCCTGCCAAGTTTCCTCGGGCTTGTTTCCTCTCTCCATTCTGGCCTCTGCTTCAGTGACACTCTACCCTGACCTGACTTCCTGCCTACATGGCACACATCTCCTTATACCTGTTTTTTCTTCATATACTCATCACCACTTGATGGTAAATGGCTGTGTATGTCTGTATTCCCCCAGCCTGACTGTCAGCTCTACAAGGACAGACAAACTGATTCACTTCTGAATCACCAGCACCAAGCACAAGCATACAGCAGGCAGTCAGAAAAACTATGTTGAACAAATGAGCTTGTAGTGCTGGTGACAAGAGATGACATTGGATGTGATATAATAGAAGAGTGAGAAGAGTGTCTTCTGTGTATGAATGAGATGACTGAGGGCTCCAGACAGCTTCAGATGGGGCTGATGCCAGGGAGACCAGGGCATAGAGGGTTGGAACTTCTAGCCCTAACTCCCAACCTCCAGGAAGGGGAGAGTAGCTGGTGATGTGAGCTCATCATCAGAAACCAATGATTTCATCAAACAGGGTTACATATCAAAACCTCCATTACAAATCTCTGAACAACAAGGTTGAGAGAGCTTCCAGCTGACAAACACAAAAAGGTGCTAGGAGGTGAAAGAGCCAGAGGCATGGAAGTTCTGCACCCCTTGCTACATACAGTCCCTGTGCATCTTTTAACTGGCTGTTCACCTACATTCTGTATAATAACCTTTACAATAAACCAGTAGACTTAAGTACCATCCTCAGTTATGTGAGCCATTCTAGCAAACTGGTGAACGCAAGGAGCGGGACATGAAAACTCAATTTATAGCCAGTCAGTCAAAATTGTGGGCAATGTGGACTTGGAATTGGCGTCTCAAGTGGGAGCAGCCTTGTGGGACTGAGCCTTAACCTGGGGTTTTGCCTAACTCTGGGTAGGGTCAGGATTCCACTGAATTGCTGAACACTCAGCTAGTGTCCTGAAATTGGCAAATCAGTTGTTGGTGTGGAGAAAACCCACACATTTGGGATGAGAGGTATTGTAGATAAACACAGTTCACACTTATGAGTAAAAATTGTTCAGACAAGACAAAGTTTATAAACAGAAACTACAGATTGCTATGTGCTCAGTTACGGAGGTCAGTAAGCAGTGTGGGGGTGACAAAGTCGAAACGTACTGTACTCACCCAAAGTAGAGAAAGAAACAAGAGGAGAGGATAGAAAAACTATTTAGGAGATAAAACTGGCACAACTAGATTGATCCGCTCAATAATAGGGTGGTGGTAAGGAGTAGGGGGAAACTGAAAGGATCCAAGGTTTCAGTTTTGTCAGCTGTTGGTACCCTTAAGAACTCTGAGGAATACAGAGCAGGAGGTGGACAAGAGCAGGGCCAGTTGCTAATGATTTCAAGCACAGACCTATGGAATGTGAGGTCTGTGTGAGCCATTCCTATCTGTCATTCAAATGTGTGAGATGACTGGCTGAAGCTGAAGGTGACAACACCCTTACCATGGAGCAGAACTGATTAACTGCTTTCTAGGAATTAAGTTGGTGACTTTTGTCTTAATTAGTAGCATACTCTAGCAAGCCCCAGATTACATGTCCTTATCATGTCCTTCTGGGGAAAAGAGAGAAAACATGAGAAGTTACCCTTGAATCTAACCTCATTAAAAGATAATTTTCACAAGTGGTTAACCAATTTATCACCACACTGTGCAAAATATATGACTAAGCTAATAAGCAACCATTATAAAAACAATGAAATATAAACACATGCGAGTATTGTGCAGTGTTACCTGTCTCCAATGAACATGTCATAATAAAATCCATTTTCGATGGGTGGGCCGTAGCACAAGTGGCCTCCATAGTAAATTTCCATGGCCTCCCCAAGAATATGAGCACTGGAGTGCCAGTATACCTGTGTACAGAGAAGCTATTAGCTATCTGAATTATATCATGGGACATAAGTGGTAGAGCAGCATGAGTAAGCAAGTGGATAAATTTGAAGGGGATAAATGCCAAGACATGTAAAAAGAGAATCCTCAATGTCCACTTACAAGGACTATTTTCTGCACCCTCCTTGGCATTCCACAAGAGCCATGTGCTCAGGTGTTGTGTAAAGCTACTCTGCTGAGCACTGCAGCTAAGATGCAACTACTACATCATTTCCTTCTGTACACAGAACTGTGGGGAAGGAGATCTTGCACTAGGATCACCCAGCACAGTGGCCACATGGAAATCCAAGAGGCCCAGAGAGAGAAGAAAGCTGTTGAGTGCCAGGTACCAGTTCCCTTCCTTTTTCTTCAAGGCAGCCTCTCTAGAGCTGGATACAGACAACTCAAGTGGCTGTTTGGGACATCACTAAAGTTAACAAGTTTCTGTATCTTCACAGCAATCTTTACATGCTAAATAGCCTGTATCTGTGGAAATCTAAAAGATAGCTCAGGAAGAAAAAGGTCTTGCCCGAAATACCCGCTGATTCCCCGAGATCCGTGAGCAGTGTAAATGTGGGTTAATTCACCAAAAGGGGGTTATCAGTCCTAAAAGTTCAGCAAGTTGATTTAGTTTCAAATTCCCAAGGAATCTGTTTATGAGTTAACTATAATTAACTAAATTAGCTTAGTTTATGGATCAAGAATTAGTTTATCAATAGTTTATTGGTAAACTAAAACCAAGTCACCAAATAAATATAGGTGACAGGGCTGTGGATGTAGCTCAGCAGTAGAGCACTCGCCTACCATGTGTGAGGCCCTGGGTTCAATTCTCATCACCACATATAAGTAAATAAAATAAAGGTATTGTGTCCACCTACAACTTAAAATAAATAAATAAATAAAAATATAAGTGCCAAAGGTGTAAGATAATTGAGTCTTCTGTCTGTACCTTCTTCCCTTTATTAAACAGAAAAGTAAATTATAATTAGAAAGCTGTTTGATAAAATAAATCAGAGCAGAGAGTTAGCTGACTGAGTAACTATGTACAATCCTGACCTCAGCAAAAGGTTGGTACATGTTCTGCGAACAGACCCAGAAACTAGCCTTCGGGGCTAAGCAACCCTCTTGTGGTTGCTACTGGACAGCAGGCTGAGTGCCAAGTCCAAATCTCCTCTTTGGGGCACTGTCCACACTGAGATATTTGTTGATATTTGTTGTGTTCAGTGTTGGGAAGATGATTGTGAAAGAAAGAGATTTAGCCATTGCCCTCATACAGATACAGCCTAGTAGGAGAGATATAAGCAATAAACATTTTAAAACATAGTTTTATAGCTGTATGGGAATGGATTTCAAGGGAAGAAACATCAAGTAGGCAGTTTCTTGGATGGTGGAATAACAGACTCCCAGGTGGTGGCAATGGTGATGGAGAGAATAGACAGATTCCAGTATAATCTACTGGGCTTTCCCATAAGCTGAAGACTAAAAGTGAGCAAGGAAAATAATTACACATAACTTCCAAGGTTCTGGATTTAGAAAACTGAGTATGTAGTAGAGTACTACACTGAGATGGGCAAACAAGGAAAAAAAGTTAGAATCAAGAATTTCACAGTGAATGCACTGAACAAAAGATTCCTGTACAGTGTCTAAATGGAGACACCACACAGGCATTGTCTAGCTATAGAGAGATGACAGTTGACAGTTTATAAACTTGTACTTTCTGAATCACTTTTAAAAAATGGTTTCCTTAATATTGTACTATTTAACTATTCATTGGTTATAGTTTGCATATTTTAAGCAGAAACATATTTATAATACAGTTCTCATAGTTCAGATTAAGAAATTTAGTGTAGGCATAACAATTAATATAACCTAAGTTAGCCATAGGTTGGGTTTTAAATGGAGATAATGAACTACTTGAAAAGAGATTGCAAAAGTTAAGGTATATCAGAGACCCTACATTAAAATTTGATATTTATTTTATAGAAAATTATAGTAACAAATAGAGGATATCTGAGGATATATATATATATATACACCTTTGTTTTATTTATTTATTTTTATGTGGTGTTGAGGATCAAACCCAGTGCCATGCATGTGCTCAGCAAGTACTCTACCACTGAGCTATAATCCCAGTCCCTGAGTTTTGATAATTTTTTCCAAACTCCTCACATATATTAAATTATAATATAGATGAATTTGTAATTGGAACTTTTTTCCCTTTTGGTGGTGCTGGGGATTGAACCCAGGGCCTTATGCATGCAAGGAATCACTCTACCAACTGAGCTATATCCCCAGCCCTATATATGAATTTTTAAATCTAATAGAATTCACTTCATTTTCAGCCAATCACAATGGCATGATCTTTTTGCTTTTGCATATATTCTGATGCTGGTGACTCAACTGAAGGCCTCATATATGCTAGACAACTACTCTACCACTGAATTACATTCCTAGGCCTAAAATTCATTTCAAATACACATTATTTAACAGTTAAATTTTCTAACTTAGGAAAACAACTATTTTAAGAAATGGTAAATATGGGCTCCTTAAAAAAGTGATATCTATTTGTATATATACAAATATTTATTAAATATCTATTAAATACCATATTATAATTTTAAATCTTAAAAGGCCAAAACATTCATCATTCTTTACTTGAATACCTGGTCTCTTCCCCAATGCAGTTTACAACATAAATGCCCAAAGATTGTTTGGATGGTTGTTAAAATACTTACAGCTTGAGCTTCCTCATTATCAAACATCAGCAGCTCTAGAGTGGAATCTCCTTCCAATGGGCGGTCCAGGTCCCATAATTCACCATTTACCTTGGCAACTACTGTGTTTTCAGCCAGTTCTTGACTAGTAAGAGAAAAGCACTTGGGAATTAACCTTATTACATGCTATAATGAGTTATTAGAAGAAAAGATTAAAATAATTTCAATTTTTTTTTTTTTTGGAAAGTGGATAGAAATTGCAAATGTAAACTACCAGGACAGCTACCTCTTTATAACAATTATTTTATGTATAAAAGTCATATATGTTCACTATTTTTAAAACTTAGGAAACAAAAAATAAAATTAAAACCCCACGTACATATCGCTACCCAGGAACAACTCTTAAAATATTTGGTACGTGACTGGCTAGTTTTTCTCCTGTATCTTCCCCTTCTCCACTTCTTTAAAAAAAACAGTTGCCACCATAATTTTATACCCCGCTTTTTCACTGCCACACATTAGACTTCCAAAGCAGCTTAGAAATATTATATTTATTAACAAAATCTCCAAATCTGAACATTGAGGCCACCTGCAGTTTTGCTCTTACAGAGCACACCACATAGACATCCCTACAAATGCATCTTTGAATCTTTTGTGAATAAGTTCACAGAAGAGGATGCTAGGTCAACAGGCATAATAGATTTCTGATAAACGTCATCTGAGTGTATTCCTTGCACCCTGGAAAAAAATTTAAATCTGTCAATGTGATGTTGAAAGTTTTGATTTCTTTGATGACTAATTTTAATTGTGATGAACTGTCCATTTTCTCTGCCTTTTTTCTACTAAGTTATTGATCTTCTTTTCAGTAACACTAACTGTTTGGAATATTGACAAAAAGTTAAGAGAAGAAACCTGGGAAGCACAGAACAGCACAAAGGAAAATATATATATATATATATAATCCCACCACCCAGAAATTCCAGTTAATATTTTATTCGATTTTATCCTTCCATGCTTTTCCATATATACACCAATATAAAATAGTTAAAATTATCATTATGTATGTTATTTTGTAACCTACTTCTTAAGATTAAAAATAAATCACAGCATTGTCCATAACAGTAGACAGACTTCTAAAATATGCTATTTAACAGTTGCAGAAAAACTAAGATTAGCTAACATTTTGGTTAATTTTTTGTGGGATTTGGCTTTTTGTTACTATTGTTTTGTCAGTTGCAATGAAAATTCCTGAATACACATCTTAGTACCCAAGCATTTTCTCAGGAAAAGTTCTCCAAGTAAAATTACTATGTCAAGGGAAACACATTTTTAATGATTTATGTTGGAATATATTGCCAAATTTTCCTACCAGCAGAGTTGATACCTTGTCTCTACTCTCATAATGTTAGGTACTATGAAATTATATCCTCTCTACAATGTCATGTTTTAATTGGCATTTCTGTGATTACCTTGGGCAGCAGTACTGCATTTGTGGCTGGGAGCCCACACTCTAGCATGAGGCCAACCTGGATTTAAACTCTGGACAATTTACTCAGCTTCTCTAAGTCTCAGTGTTCTCATCTATAAAATAGGAATTATGGTGCCTTCCTCATATATTTATACTGAGAATTAAAAGATTACTTATGTTAACTTAATGAATGTTAGATATTGTTACTAATGAAATAGAATTTATTTTCATATTGCTAGTTGATAAACTAAAAAAATTTCTTCAAATCCATTGGTCCCCTTATTGTACACTTTTTCCAGCTTTCCTTGCAGCTAAATGTAGCCATGAGACCATGACTAGGGCCAACGAATACAAGCAGAACTGACATGTACCACTTCTGCATCTCAGCTTAAGACAGAAGAGGGCACTTCTCCACCCTTTCTGTTTCCTGTGGACTGGAACACACATGCTGCTGTTACTTCTGGACCATGGAAATCAGATGGAAGTAAGTTAGATTTCCAAATGACTTTGTGGAGAAGTGCTGACCTGGCAACATGGACCACTCACCTCCAGACTGCCTTATGATAAAGAGACTTTGATTATATTTAAGCCACTGAGTTCTTTCTGATGTCTTGTAGCAGTTTAGCCTATGTTTTAGCTAATACAGAAATAAGGGCTTGCAAGTAATTAAAAAAAAAAACATGTGGCACTGGCTTGGCAGAGGGGCAAGAGGTTACAAGGAAATAGATATAAGGATATTGGAAAACCAACAACCTTTATATGGCATTACAAAATATTTGATAAGAACTTGCAGGCAAACCATGTGTTACAACAGTGTGTGAGGAAATAAGTATAAAAGGGTACTGGATAATTCCTGGTGCTTTTACCAAGATAGTACTAGAATGAGAAACTCGCATGTCAGATGGAATGGACAGGGCTTCTCTGACCTAAAATTCAAATTGATTAAGAGTCCAGAAAATGTGGGGCTGTACAATATTGAAAGATAATCTTCTGTCCCAAACAGCAGGAAGAAGGGGAACTGACAGCCCTTCTCAAAGGCCACACATAGACAGACAATAGGGACCTAACTGTATTAGAGAGTAAGGGTGCTGCCCTCCCACAAGCCTGTTGTTTCCATGAGCTCAGTTCATTCAACTAAGGGAGAAAGGAATGAGCCAACTACAAAAGCCAAGAAACTGAAGGTAAGGAATCTCTTGTCTAAAAGGAGTCTTTAAATGAGATGACCTTCATATCAACTGATTAGCAGCAAACAGACCCGAAGCTTACTACAGTTAACTGTTTGAGGGAATTCTATCACCAACCCAACTACAAGCCCCATTTACAAACGCTAGTGACTGATCTTAAAAGGGACTCTCAGGCCCCAAAGTGCACCTGTAAGAACTAGGCTGTGCAAACTAGACAGCCCCCAAGGGGACAAACTTCCCCACAATTCAGATTTGGGAAACAAGGGCAAAGAGACAACTGTGAACTTCCCAAAGAACAAAACCAGGGCCTACAGGTTTGTGGATGAGGAAGCTTCTTCCACAGCACAAAAGGTGACCAGATGGGCTGAGTCCAGCACTGTGGGCATAACAATTGTGAGCAGAATCAGAAGAATTCTGTAAAGCAATGCCTCCTGTATTTCTCCTTTTTGTCCAAACAGACACTTTAATTGTGGTTTTCTTGTTTATTGTATACATATGGTGTAAGAAGATTTGTCTATTATTATTTGTTGTTAGGATGCAGTAGCCAGCCTGACAGGGTGGGTATTCTGCACATCACGTAGAAATTGTGAGCTTTGAGCTACAGGGCCTGGAGTTGTCATCTCACCTAGGAAAGGGGTGAGTGCCAGATGTTGAAAGAAGACCACACACAGATATCTGGATGTTGGAGGGATTGACTGGGAAAGACTGCCTGTTTTCCTATAAACCATTTTTTTTTTCTTCCAAGGTAAAAGAATTTCAGTGGGACACATGCTAGCCAGCACTAATTTCCATTCTATCTTATAGCTAGATGTAGTCATATGACTAAATGTGAGCTAATAGGATGCAAGTGGAAATTGAAGTATGCTACTATGGGAACTTGACTCCAAAGCATCACTGTTCTTCACTCTCCCCTTTCTTGTTTGTACACAGGCCCACAGATAGGACCCAGCAAATCACCAAGACAGAAGGAACCTGGGTGCATAAATGATTTCATGGGCCAGAGATGTCCACCAGATCTGCCTGGTCATTTGAAGACTGTTACATGAGAAAGTCCAACACTTTACTTAAGCCACTGTCTTTAGGGGGTCTCTGCTGCAACAGTTTAGCCTAATTCAGTGGTTCTTAAACTTTAGCATGCATCAGAAGCTACTGGAGGGCTCATAAAAACAAGACAGCTGACTGAATCAAGAGATTGAAAGGGGGTTGCAAAAATTTGCTGTTCTAACAAGTTCCCTGATAATGACAATTCTGCTAGTCTGGGCACCACACTTGAGAATTGCTGAAACACATTACGGGAAACCTGACTCCCCATGAGAAAATATATCATTTTTGCCTCAAAATCCATTTTTCTCTAGCACATCATCTCTCCTGGAAAACATGGAATTGGGTTAGAAGGGCCTTTAGGTACATGATAAAGGCTGAAACAGAAATACCTTAGCCATAGATAGCTTTCAAAAGAAATCTGAGGATTTCAACTGCTGAAACTGTTTTTTTTGTTGTTTTTTGGGTACTAGGGATTGAACACAGGGCGCTTAACCACTGAATCCCATCCCCAGCCTTTTTTTAATATATTTTATTTTAAGACAGGGTCTCGCTATGTTGCTTAGGGCCATGCTAAGTTGCCGAGGTTGGCTTTGAATTCACAGTCCCCCAGCCTCAGCCTCCTGAACCACTGGGATTATAGGCATGCACCACTGCACCTGGTCTGATTTGTTTTTTAAATAATAAAATTGTATTAACATGGAAATTTTGGGTTATAGTTTCATATAATTGTATTTAATGCTAGAAATTAACATCAACCAAAACAGTATAACTTCAGTAATATATCTAATTTCTAGAAAGACCAAGAACTATTCCAGGACTAATAACAGCTCGAACACGTACATCTCCAATCTAAAATTAAAGGACCTGTAAAAATTTCAGAGAAATCATTTGAGTAATGAATAAAGTCAGTGTGTGGCCTGTCAAGGAGTACAAATTTTTTTTTCTCTACTATGTATTTTTATAACTTTAAAATTTGGGTCTTTTATAAAAGAACAGATTGTGTTCTGATATTCATAAACTTAATCAAGTGACCTTTTTAGAAGCCAATAGGAAAAAATTCATTACATTTAATTTATTCAACTGAATGAGGAAAACAAATATTTTATCATCCCCTAGAAAAACATTCTACCAGGCTCTGATACAATTGCTTACTACTTAATATCTTCTCCAAACTATTTTTCTATCTATATTTGTCTATATGTTAGGTTTATTATATATATATATATATATATATATATATTTTTTTTTTTTTTTTTTTTTTTTTACCTAATCTCAGCAGCCACATTATATGGTGTTGTTTTCCAAATTTCCCCTTCCACTGTTTTCCCATCAGTCAGTCTTACTGCTATCACATTGCTTGCATTCTCCTTTGTTTCACACATAGCATGCAAAAGCTGATGTTCTTTCTTCAAGGTTTCAAAAAGTTCCAGCCTTTCTTTTATAAAATTTGGTTGTTTCACCTGAAAATCATTAGAATAAAATGAGATTAACAAACACAGTCCAGGTATTGCTAGCTGCTCAGTTCTAAATCATTTCCACATCCCACACTGCCTTCTCAGCATACATATATACTCTCTTGTCTCTCTCCTTCCCCCTTCAGAAGACTCCTTTCCACTTATCGAATTCCTTAGCTCTACAGTCCAGTTCTAAGCCAGCCACCTTTAACTCCTACACCTTCCGGCCTCTCCCTTTTCACTATTCACAGCACATGTATGAAGTGGCACACAATACACCACTCATTAATATACAGCCATCCCTCTGTATTCATTGGGATTTGATTCCAGGAGCCTTATGGATTCCAAAATCTGAGGATGTTCAAGTCTCTTAAATAACATAGTATTTGATTATAACCTACACACATTCTCCTATATACTTAAATCCTTTCCAGATTACTCAAAATACACCTATCAATATAAATACCATATAAATAGTGGTTGTACATTAGGAAATAATGACCAAAAAGTCTGTACATATTTAATACAGACACAATTTTTTTCCATACATTTTCAATCCACAGTTTGTTGAATTTGTGAATGCAGAACCCATGGATACAGAGGGGACAAATGTACCATCTCATTTCATTCTCTAGTTGGTTCTCCTTTGTTTATCTCAACTTGTGAACCAGATTATTCTCTTTGAGGCCAGGTATTCCTCCTTTACATCTATCAATTGTTAATGCTCAATGAATATTGTCTGGTTGTTTTAATGATTTATATTTAAAAAGCAGAGTAGCTGGTTTCCTCAATACAAAGTAAGAGCTCTACTATTCCAACTTAGACTAAGTGCCATTTAAATATAGTGTGCCTTAACATCTCATAGCTAAGGCTCAACAGTCTTAAATACATCTCAAATAATAATTTAACTAATAATTATGTTCTTATAAAAAATCTGCCTATACATATTTTAAATTACAGGTAGTATTTTATATTGTTTCCATAGCAATGTTACCTCACTGTCAGGTCCATGTTCCTTCAATTTCTCCTTTTGAATGTCCTTTTCTTGGCTTTGACTAGAAGGAGGCTGAAAGATAAGTTACAAACAACTCATGCCAATGACAAGTAAGAACAACACATTGAAACCTGAGGAAGAAGGGGGACTGCAAGAGCCCATGCTTAAAGGTTCAGAGCTGGGCTCTCCCAACCACTACCTACAACCTATAACGGGCAAGTTGTTTTCCAGAGTTCAGTCCTTCTTCAGTCTGCTCTTCTTGCTATAAGCACATTTAATATATTTTCTTCAGCATTTCCCGCTAAACTTGTTTGTACCCAAAATCTTCATGAACGGTGCAAAGAACGGGAAGAACATCTCACAGTTTGAGAAAGCCTTCAGAACTAAGTTTATTGTTTTACATGAAGATGATTTGTCCTTTTATGAACTAAAATACCAAAATACTGTATTCAATGTTAAGTATACAGTTCTCTTAAGATAGATTCCCAAAACAAGAAAATAAAAAATCAAAACCACCTGCTACGGGAGGGAATAGAACTGTTTGTTGATCTTTATGCCCAAGGAAAGAATAACGAATGTTAAGCGCCACGGCCCTTTTTTCATACAAATGAAAATGCTATTTCAGCTATTAGGAAAATATGTGTGGCAGGCTCTTTAATAGAATAGCTGAGAAATTAAACCATCGGGTCAATTTGGTGATTGCTGGAAATCTAGCGGTTCTGGGGCCGCTGCAGGAGAACTGAGTAGGGCACCTGGGCCGAGCACACTCTGCGTGACCACGAGCTAGGCCGAGGCACCCCGGCTGGGGGCACCCCTTCAGGGAGCTGGGCAGGCTGGGCAGCGCGCCATCGTGGACACACCCTGCAGCACACCCCCCACTCCCCGGCCTGCACCTGCGCTTCCAGATTTGAAGACCGCTAAGTGAGCACTGTCGCGGGTAGCGGGTCGCGGGTCCGTGGAGGCGGAGGCGCCGCAGCGCAGCCCACAATCCGCCCCCCGGAGTCCGGGCCTCCTTGTTACCTGCGTGCCCGCAGCCGCGCGCTCGGCCTCCCCGTGCGCCGCAGCCGCCCGCGCCGCACTCTCTAGCTTGGCCTGATGGCTCAACTCCTCCGCCAGGCACAGCCGCAGGCGATACAGCCTGTGGCGCAGGTCGCGGTTCTCCGCCCGGAGCTGCGCCACCTCCCGCGTGAGGCACGGCCCCTCCGCCTGGCACCGATCGGGCGCGTTCAGCTGCTCGTCCCTCAGGCGCTGGACCTCGGTCCACAGCCAGCGGATGTCCTCCTCCTGCCTCTCCAGGCGCGAAGCTACGGCCTCAGCCGCCAGGGCCTCAGCTGCCATGGCGCCCGGCTCCTTCAGGGACCCACGCCCCGCGGGGAGTTAGCGGTTGCGGCGAGGGCAACAGGGAGACTCAGTCCAGGGCAAGCCACGGGGCGGGGCTACAGCCCCGCGCCCCGCGTAGGCGGGTCGAGAGGCGGGGCCAAGGCCGGACACACCGCCGGGGGCGGGGCGGTGAGAGGGGCGGGGCGGTGAGAGGGGCGGGGCCGAGTGTCGAGGTCCTACAGGGTTGGGGCCTATGGCTTGGGCCTGGACAGTGGCGATGGGGCCACTGTCATGTCCAGGTGCTACCTGCAAACCCTGTTTTTATGTTGAAACGATTCTGTTTATAGCTGGAGAAATTGAGACAGAGAGGCTATGTCACTTGACCAAATCCTCCAATACTTTGGCAAGGCCAACATATCCCATTTCAATGGATTTTTCCCTGGTTTTCTTTTCTCTGGAATTCTTGCAGTCACCATCCTTTGCATCTCGAAACCGATTCTGAAAAGTAGCCATTAAGAATCGACCTTAACCTTCATGCCAGGGATGTTTAAGGGGCAAAGGCCACCCCAGAAGCGCACATAGAAGAGCTCTACAAAAATTTTAAATCTGACCAGCATGAAATTGCTAGCTCTTCCAGTCTAGGGAAATGCCACATACCCTTTGTATACCCTACATCCATGAGCATGAAACTTGTTATGGCAGAAACATGAACTGATTTTTTTTTAAACTTTATTTATTTTTATGTGGTGCTGAGGATCGAACCCAGGGCCTTGCACGTGGGAGGTGAGCACTCCACCGCTGAGCCACAACCCCAGCCCATGAATTGATTTTTATTATTCTCTTTTTAATATTTATTTTTTTTTAGTTGTAGTTGGACACAATACCTTTATTTTTTATTCAGTTATTTATTTTTATGTGATGCTGAGAATCAAACCCAGGGCCTTGCCCGTGCTAGGTGAGTGCTCTGCACTAAGACACAACCCTAGCCCCTACTGTTATTCTTAAAGCTTAGAATTTTGGCACTGTTCTAAGATCTTTGCAGATAACAACTTCTTAGATCCTCACCTCAGGAGATACTATTATCATATCCATTTGTAGCTGGAGAAATTGACACACAGAGAGACTATGTCATTTGACCAAGTTCGCACAGTTACTGCATGACAATTTGGATTCAATCTCCCAAACAATCTGAAGTCTGAGTGTATGATGCCTTTAGACCTTAGTAAAATTTAATTGAACATGTCAGATGATTTGATACAGGTGATAAATGCCATAAGAATTCTGAAATGAGAGAGTTAGCTTGGACTGGTGTAGTTAAGAACAAGAGCAATACTTCAGAAAATAAAGATTGGGTGAAATAAGAAAGGTGGAAAGGTAGACAAAGGCCACTCTAGGAGCAGAAGCAGTTCGGGAAAAGAAGCTAGGGAATGAGTTAATTGAGCTAATCTGATTAAGTTAACTGGAATTCCAAGAAGCTCCCAGAAGGAGGTTCCATAACTTCCATGTGGAAATTTAAAAACCATCTATTAAAGAACTCTGTTTTAAGGAAAAACAGAGAAAGTACAGAATTTAGTTAAGATGATAATAATGAAAAGATTACAATTCTATGGAATATATAGACTAGAGAAAAAATTGTATCTAACACCTATATTGATAAAAACAAAAGAATGAAAATAAATTTTCAATAAACAATCTAGGACAAGGACATCAAGATAAACCAATAGCAACACCCTAATGAAACTACATAGAGTTGTCCTTCAATACCATGGTGGTTTGTGTTCCAGGACCTCCTTCCACCACAGATAGCCCATGGATGCTTAAGTCTCTTATATAGAATGGTATAGTATTTGCATATCATCTACCCATCATCTCTAATATAACATAAATGCTATGTAAATAGTCATCATATTATATTGTTTAGGGAATAATGACAAGAAAAAAGTCTGTACATGTTTAGTACAGATGCAACTCTTTTTAGATATTTTCAGTCCAAGGTTGGTTGAATCCATGGATGTAAAATCCACCCATATGAAGGGTCATTAACGCAGCAATCCCACTTTTAGAAATTTATTCCAAAGATACTTTGCTAAGAATAAAAATGCATATCACAAAAATTCAATGGAGGTTTATCTGTAATTATAAAATACTGCATAGGATATTGGTTCAGTTAGCTGTGGTGCAAACACAATGGAGCATTCTGCAGCTGTCAAAAAGAATTAGGAAGATTACTAAAAACTGATATGGGATGGTTTCCAGGGAATACTGTGCAGTGATAAGAACATATATAGTATGTTACAAGTTATGTAAGAAAGAGAAGAAAGCACATGTACACCTACTTATCATTATAAAAATGAATAGAAGAATAAATTAGAAAGCAATTATGTTCATCTCTGAGGGACCAAGGGAAGGGAAATGCATTTATCTACTGCATTGCAAAAAGAAATAGAATAACAAGCAATGATGACTACCTACAAGGGATCAGGAGAGGGGAAATGAGCTGTGAGGACCTCTGAGAGATTTCTCTGGGTGTATCCTTTTGTATAGCTTTGACTTTTGAAGGTATATAAATATTCTGCATATTCAAAAACTAAATCAATGGACATGAAAAGAGAGTAAGTTTAAGTAGACAACAAACTTAACTTTAATTCAAATGACCATTATAACCAAACGAAAGGTGATGGAGAGGGAGAAAAAAATAACTAACTATAATCCACAATCTTAGATGGATTGTAAACAAATGCTGAACTCTTTTCAGAAGGTTTTTGTATTGTAGTCATGTTGGAAAAAAAAGAATTCTGAAGCTAGTTTTTATATGCTCTAAGACTGAGTGAGTGTAAATGTGTCAATACTGGGATCTATGATTCTCATTGTATAAGAAAGATGCAAATATGGAATGAGAGTAGAAAAGAAACAATCCTATGGGGATAGCTTGGACTGAGATGGATTTGTGTAAACCTATGATTTATAAAATGTTTGTGAGTATGCTTCTGTATACACACACACAAATGCAAGTATATGCATGCACGTTGTATACATGTGAATATATTTACTAACTTTTAATGCCAGAGGAGTCAAGAAAAGATACCCAGTAGCAATGATGACACATAGCATTAAGGTCTTGATATTTACCCATTAAAAGAACCAGGACTCCTAGGAGAAAGGTCACTCCAGGACTGGGATACAGATTCAAGATAAACCTGGAACAGCTTGTCTTACTGGAAATTAGGGAAGGGCTCCCCACAAAAATGGTCTGAACATGTCACAAGGACGCAGGAATGACCTTGAAGATGTTCCCACTGGCCAAACTGGTACTACTTGTAAACCAAAATTAATTAATATGACAATGAATCATAAACCACCAAAGGACTGGGGATGTGGCTGAAGTGGTAGCGCGCTCGTCTGGCATTCGTGCAGCCCGAGTTCGATCCTCAGCACCACATACAAACAAAGATGTTGTGTCCGCCGAAAACTAAAAATAAAATATTAAAAAATAAGAAATAAAAAAATAAACCACCAAAAATATGGGAATTCATAAATCAGAAGAAAATAGAAGACAGAAAATAGAAGAAAAACAGGAAAGAAGCAAGAAGCTCAGTGTATAAACTATAGACTGATGCCCAGAACAAAATGGGAAATGCAGAGATAAATGTAGAAATAGAGCATTAGAAAATCATCAGTTTGCCAACTTCAGAGTAAAGATTAAGTCAGGCAACAGTCATGCTCAACCTAGGGGCCAGTTTTGAAAAGTGGCAGGATATTTGCATGGTTTTAAAACATCTCCCTGCAGACTCTTTATTAGGTGCAAGGGAAAATCAAAAATTAATCACACAATGAAGAAATCAAGCAATACCTTGATAAGTGATCAAAATTAACATCATCTATAAGGAACAGGTGGGCTTCATGAGTCTCCAGATGTAACATTGAAAAGAAGGCATAATCCATCATACAGAATTCATTCCTAGAATACATAACCCCTGTGTAATCCCAGAGAAATGTCACACAAACACAAAATAAGGTACATATTGTTTAAATAATGAAGGGAAGAAACTGTTTTTCAAAAACATTGACATCATAAAATACGGTCTCTAGAAATGTTCCAGAGTAAAGAAAGCTGAATAATCATGATAATTAAATGCAATACTTGACCCCAGATTGGATCCTGAAGGGGGCAAAATGCTTTTATAAAGAGCACCATTAGACCAACAAACTAAAATGGAAAATGGATGGCATATTAGATAAAAATATTGTGTTGATATAAATTCATGATATTGATAAGTATTAAAAAAACAGAGTGTCTCCATTTTTCATAAAAGCAAGCTAAATTATTTAGTCAAGTTGCATGTAACTTATATCCATATGGAAAAAAATTGTAGAGGGAGAGAGGATAAATGATAAAGCAAAGGGTAAAACCTCAATGTAGGCTTCTTAGAACATGATGAGATAATGTTACTCCTCTCGGTAAAGCCTTTAGAAACTTTCTACAACAAATGGAGTAAAATCTCATTTTCTTATCAGGACCTATCAGGCCAGCAAAACTGAACTCCCCATGGCCTCTCTAGCATTATACAAAGACCTTTACAAAGAACTAGTCCCTGGAGCTCTCAGATCCTCAGATAATCCTACTCCTTCCTGGCTCTGAGATTTTACACATTCCAAGTCTCTGCTTTTTTTTTTTTTTTTATCTTCTATCACTCTTACTATCCAACTTCATCCTGGGGTTTTAGCTTATGTGTCATCTCTGTGCTCCCTGTAAAGTAGCCTTGCCTCCCTTCTCTCTCAGCACCTCTTTCAATTATATTGTAATTATTTTATTCATTTGTCTGCTTGTATTTTTTCTGTCCCTACCTCTTAGCTGGAGTTGGGGGGGGGGCGGGGGTTGACTCTATTATTTCACCATGATTCCATACCTCCCATCTAGTACAAAGCAGAAAATCAAAAAAAAACTTTGGAGTTATAATGGCCTCTCACAAAATTATGAAGACAGGGAGAAAATAAAAAGATTAGTCTTTGCCAAAATTGGGGGGAAAGGGAATGAGTAGGCAGAGAACAGAAGATTTTTATGACAGTGAAATTATTCTTTATATCATTATGTATCTTTACAAAGGCATAGAATGTATAACTCAC